GATAACGATTTGGGTGAACTAAATATGTATGTGCATACTAACTTTATGGCCGCTTGTCCCGCAAATGATGTTGAAGATTTTGAAAAAATTGATTTGTTAGATTTTTKGAAACAAAAACAACCTCAATTCCCGATTTTGGCATGCATCGCACGTGATATACTAACAATCYAAGCTAGTACCGTAGCTTCGGAGTCTGCTTTTTCTCTTAGTGGTAGGATAATTTCGGTACGTCGGACAAGACTAAGCCCGGAATCCGTGGAGTGTTGCATTTGCTTGAARGATTATTTGGATAGCGTTGATAGGATTCAACACATGACATCTTTAGAGACGGAGATTGAAACGGTGGAAGAAAATMTTGAAGAAAATGAAATCTCTATGGGACTAAGCACGCCACCAACTACCGATACCGATAGCACTTACTCCCAGTCCCAATCCCAATATGACGATGATGAGGAACTCGACATCGATGACCTTGAAGACAATGAGGCTATTAGAAGAATTCAAGAGACCGGAACTCTTCAAGTCAATCCGACATGAGATACCGATGAAGATTGATAGATAAATGTATTTTATTAGCATTTTGTAAAACAATCACTTTAATCATAATAAAACGTACTTTTAAAGTGTACTTGAGTAAACCGTATTTTTAAAATTAAACGTATATAACGAAACGTATTTATAAAATTAAACGTATATATATAATACATAACAAAACGTATTTATAATAAAACATATTTATAATAAAACATATTAAAAATAAAATATTTCGAAAATATTAATAACATATTTTTAATTTATTAATTACCAAAAAAATTTAAAAAAAATAAAAAAAAATTTCAAAGGACCGGCCGTAACCGGTTATGGGACCGGAACCGGGACCGGTTATCCTTAACCGGTTATATGAAAGCTTGACCGGTTATAGTGGTTTTGGTCGGGACCGGGACCGGAACCGAGACCGGTTATGGAGGGACCGGTTAACGCCGGTTTTTGTCACGATTAGGCCCGGCCGTAACCGGTTAAGGCCCAGCCCGGGACCAATTTTTTGCCATCTCTAGTACGGGCACACGCCCAAAGCCCAAAAATATCAGGGGGCCCAAATTTTTCTCTTAAAATACAATAGTAGCCTAAAAAATTTAATAAATTAAAGAAACCCAAAAAATTGTAACATATAATAAAAGACAAAAAGAATTTAGTAGATAATAACGGTCCAAAAATATATCAACTAATTATTATTGGAGAAGAAAAAAAAATAATTGGTCATTCATTATATGTTATTGTTTATTGCTTCTCTAATTTATTTTATCTCCAACAAGGTCTAATGATATTGGCTATTGATATTTTTATATGTTTGACTATTTTCGTGTTTCAACAATTCAACGTTAAGATCGTGTACTTGCTATTGTTATATATTTTTATTTGATATTTTTATCAAATTCTGCTTCTATAACTATTGTTATTTGGTTATCGTGTTTAAATTGTTTTTGTTAACTATTGTTATCTATTTTTGCTTTTACATAAAATATTTTACTATTGCTTGACACTCAATATATTGTACTTATAATTTATGATGTGTTTCATTGTTTAATCAATAAATTTTTTCTACTAGATGTATTTAGTAATGTGTCTCTTATATATGTCATGTTCCATAAACTTTTAATCTTAACATTTTATTTTAGTTGAGCAAAAAAAAGAAGGAAAGTATAATTTAAATATTTTCATCAATTGTTTGACTTATGTATCTTTCATTGGGATTCCGTCACACCATAAGATTCTATTTAAGTACTCAAACAATCATTTGTTGAGCTTGCATATTATATGTTTAATTCATTATTTATCGTTATTGGATCATCTTTTCTTTCATATTCTTATTGATCCTTATTTGTCTAGTTGTCTAGAAAACCTTGATAATCTTCTTTATTATTGATCTCTCATTGACTCTCATGATTACTTCATCACACGAATTCTCTTTTTGTATCAAAATAACACATATTTCTTGTTATTAAGATTTCTTTCCTCAGTAAATTATTAGCATTTCTTGTACTCAATTTTATACTCGTGAAAAACATTTAATGAATTTTTTTCCGTACTTAACGAGGATCACTACAAGAAAAATGAGTTTTGATGATGCGCCTTTTAGGGATGACATGTTTCCGCCACAAGTTATAGTGACGGCATGTTGTTATATACTATTTCTTATGATAAATGAACTTTTAGCGACGACAAAAATCGTTGTCATGTTTCTTGCAGTGGGCCATGTTTTTACATTCGTCCGGTGCTTAGTACGACCCTTCAATTTATAAGACCAAAAAATAGATGTCCTATTTAAAAACGTTACAATATGGTGTTAAGACAAAATTAGGCTTACTGATACTGTCACACAAGTAAAATTACATGCACTATAATTATCTCGGAAAAATGACCAGAGAAACCTTATTGGTTGCTCTAGCACTCGCCTTTTTATCGCTCGTTCTAGATACTTAATGTTCCAAATGTTAGGACTAACAACAAGTCTTGCCACGATGATCCTGAGCTACAAAACTTGTGCCTGTCAAAGTACAAGAGAAAACTGGTGCATTTCTCCAACATAACTTTACAAAAATCGCTTCTCCAGGGTCAAAGATCGGAAATTTGGGGAAAAGATGAAGACTTTACCTTTGAACTTCTTCAACTCCATATACGAGGTTAAGTTCTTCAATCTCCCATCATATCTGCCAAGATCTTACATTTAAACAGCAGCATTGAACGAATATCCAAACGTTTAAATATTCGCTTAATTAAAACTATGACAAGAACGGAGATTTTATGGACCCAAATCAATACTATCAATCTTTTGTATTTAATCACAATCGGCAAATAAGTACATAACCGTATTGGCCTGAAAATAAAATCTTGCAATTATGATGATTGTGGTTGGAATGGAACTTCTGGGAATTTTAAAGCATGAAGAATAAATCAACTGATCAACCAACATATCCACTAATTTGTGAGAACTTTGTTATTTGTGAAAACTCAGGAGGACTGAGATCTAACCATATACACTAATTTAAGTTTAACTATTTTAAAAAATAATTAAGGGGTAACCAAAATATAGGACTGTGAGATCTAACCAAAATGAAATAAATCTTACTTTATTAGTCAATCCCTAAAATATCTCCGAGGAATCAGTTGTGAATTGAAAAAGAACCAATTTTATTTTAGATTTTTAATTGATCTTGGTAAAAATGTACATTCATAATGTGAATGTGGGTGGTATAAATGTACAATGTTATTTATTCACAATGTGAATATATATAGTATAAATGTATACATATGCTATTACAAGAGTTGTCACACTGTGCATCCAATAAACTATGATTGTATCACATTCGTACCTAAAGAGATTCCCAATCCGATTAAACACTCTACATTCGACTCACAGTAGAATCCCAATTGCCATTGGACAAGGGTGTCCTCTATGTGCATACCTACTGTCAACACATAAAATGTGTGCATACCCTCCCTCATTGAGAAAATGTAAAATACCCATGATCAGTTCCCATTTGCTAAAACTAGTCATGCATGACTACGTTGTGCATATCCACTCTATCTCTAAGGAAGATAATGGTAGGAGATGATGGTTGAAGAGATTCTAGGAGATGATGGTTCACCATGTCAATTCCCAATTTTGTCCTTTTTTTATTAATATGGCCGAGAATACATACAGAGTTTTCCCATGATTAGCCCCCAATATATATATATTGAATCACATTTGGATTTAAACCATCAGCAGTTTATCAAATCCCATATGATATGATTGTACCATTTGGTTTTTAAACAAACATTCAATCGAGTATGTGTATGTAAATGTAGATGAAAGTTCAAATGAGAACCATGAATATTTTGAGAAACTCGGAACCAACTATTTCATGTACTATTCATGATGAAAAACCATGAATGGTCATGAATTTTATGCATTTTTCATCATAAATACAATGTATTTACAATATGAATAATTGTCATCATGAATATCTATCACGACATTCATCATGGATAAAACATGAATAGTTGGTTCTTAAGGCCTCAAAATATTTACGCTTCTCATTTAAACCTATTTGAACATACCCATGTATATGTATTTGTATACCTCTATCTCTGTGACATACTTGACTCGTCAATGTAGAACTCGGAAGAAATTTAATCAATGTCCATTGTCTTCTCCTTTTCGTAATTTTTGCTGGTCCATAGTTTTATTGTCCTGTCATGAGAAACAGTGGCAATACTTTGTCCATCTGCAAAACCGATAACGACATCAAAAATCACAAGTTGGAATAGAAGATGACTGATAAAAACATTATAAACAATAATTACAATTCAAAATAAATAATAAGAAGCTTACCCCCAACTACATCAAGAGATGTAACTTTAGCTTCGTGACCAGAAAGGATCTTCACGGGCTTAAAATCTCTGGCTGACCATACCTGAGATGCATGCAAATCCAATAATACATTCAACAAAAGAGCCAAATGATTCAACATCTATTGAGACTTGACGAATTTCTTGTGGATTACCTTAGCAGTCATATCATAAGAAGCAGTTACCAAGAAATATCCCTCTTGAGGCTCAAATTTAATTTGAGAAATAAGATTAGCATGTGCAGGAATTGTGTACAACGATCTCTTCTTCCTCAAATCCCAAATTCTACAAGTATTATCTTCACCTCCTGTTGCTAAATGATACCCATTTGGTGAAAAGCTGATACCGTAAACCTGAAAAACGTAACCATAAAAAAAAAGTATTGGCTACTTACTCCAGAAAATGAGGACAAATAAAAGAAAAAAGAAAGTATATCAATAATGGGTCTCACCGGCTTCACATGACCTTCCAAGGCAAGTATGCTTCTCCCTGACCGCAGGTCCCATACACGAGCAAGTGCATCGAGCCCACAAGATGCGGCTAGAGAGCCATCAGGGTGAAAAGTCAACCCATACACACTTCTACTATGACCTTCTTGGAGGAGCAACTCTTCACCAGTCTCTGTATCCCATAATCTCCACGTTTTATCGAAGCTAGTTGTGCCCAAATATTTCCCGGATGGATGGAAAGCAACACGAGCAAGGCGATCCAAATGGCCCTTGTATGTGTGTAGCAGAGTTCCTTCGGTATTCCATAATCTTGCAGTGCGGTCAGCAGAAGCAGTTGCTATGTGGTGATTTGTTGGAGAAAATGTAACATCAGTAGCCCGTTCGGTATGCCCCTTCAATGAAGACGCGATTTTTATTTCTGGCATGCTCCATATCTTAGCAACTCCGGTTAAAGAACTGATCAAGAACCAAGAAAAAAGGATAAAGTCGTTTATTTGGATAAAAAATGAAACTTTAGGGTATAATCCTTATATAAGGCTTTTATCATGTGTTACATGATGACTGTTGCAAAAACAGGCATTGGGTAACACTAATATGACATGCGGGAGGTTCAAAGAAGAACAGTAACCAAATAAAAGAACACAAAAAGGGTTAAATCATGTTACACTAACAGTCAACACAAGGGTGTGCGGGCTACATGGCCCGCGACCTCATGTCGCGGTCAAAGTCGCGCGAATCACATGTGATTTTACACGTGATTTTAGTGTAAAATCACATGTGATTTGACTGTTTTCTTATTCTCTTATTTGGTTACTGTTTTCGTATGAACCTGACTCAGTATGACATATTATTATATATGCATCAACAACATATATGTAAAAATTATTTCCATTCAATTAAACAAACATCAATTAACAATGTAAAATTACAATGTTACATGACATCAATTAACCGCTAGCATCAATAACATTATTAACATGCTGGCGTCACACATTTGATTGACCTAGAGTCCATGAACAATATCATCAACAAGAAGAGTCGAAAGGGAAGAGAAAAGAGCCTAACATGATTGTCAATGTTTTTTCTCTTTTTGTGTAATATAATTTCTGAAACATGCTTAATGTGCTTAGATTTCGTTAAAAATAGACGGGTTTGATAAAATGTTGGTTTGATTCTTTGAAAATTGGCAAAACTGACAGACATTTCTTTAATAAATCATGTGACTCAGATGCTAAGGCACCCGCCTCAGAGAAAAAAAAGACAGTGGTGTCTTTGAACGCCATCCATTGCAATTGCTAATTAATAACGAATCATACACCTAATACACCATTGAGCGATAACATTTACTGGTCTAAGATTTTCATTGCAATATAAAAAATAAAAGTACCAAGGTTTTCATCGATCAATTATATGGAAGACAGTAATTACACTATGCATACTATCCATATAAGTAAACCCACCAGTATCTGCTCGTTGTAATTCTTTTCTTTCTACTAGAATGAAAGCTTCATTAAGGTAAAGGTAATGCCAAAAGATCACTACCAGAGAGCATAACTACAAGCTTCCATACTGACAGATCAGAGCATATAAAGGTCTTTTTTTGGTGGAAATGTAATCAGGTATATTGCCCAGTTTGAAATGCATAAACATTTACACAATGATAAAGGCTAAAATCAGGGATACAATGAGGGCCGCACATAAATTGAGCAACACCTTACTGTTAATAGCAGTTGGAATTAAATTATCTCTGACTTACAAAGTTGGGAAGTAATCAATCTATTTTCAAAGAAAACCAGAAACACCATATCATCCAATTTTAATACCTCTACAAGAAATCCCAAGCAGTTCAAGGCACCAGGTATTGGAATCGTATTGACTTGAGGGCTCGAGTGATATGATCAAATAAAGAAGACAACACTTTACGAAATACTGAGATGATGTAAGTTTGAAAGTTTCCCTTCTTTCAATTATAATGCAATAGGCTATTCAATTTCACTTGAAGGTCAGGGATAAATTAAATGTGAAAAAAGAATATCTTGCTCCACCTTTTTCCATAACCAATCTCTCATTTACAACCACTATCATCAAGCACCCACTAAAGTCTTTGCTCTTTTAAAGAAGATTTATGCTTCTAAGTTCCCCAATAAAGAAATCAAAATGTTTCCTAGGTTAGAGTGATATGGGGAACTTGAAATAACTTCAAAGTCATTTAGTATAAGTTCATCTTACCTCCCAACTCCACCTTATGTGAAATCGACAAATCCAAAATGCTCTTCTCTATGGTCCCTGTCAATATTCTCCAGCAATACGGTCTTGCACTTGCCTCGCTACCAAACAAACACAAGTTACATGGTTCATCTGACCTCTCAGTTCTTGCTATCATGGTATCACCAATCTATCTACTTGGGCTTTCTGTATTTAGTAACGATGCCTATAAGGCTACAAATCAACTAGCATTTTTACTAAGACCCTATGCTTAGATTGTCCCGACTTATGACTTAAAGGCTTCAAGATGCCTATAGCACTTTCACTTGGTTTACTGGCCACATGAGATAAGTAACTGCTTCAGCAAACACATAACATTCAGAGATTACTCTTCAATTGTATGTTAGCCATATAGTTCATCATACTCTGAACATGCGTAGATAATACATATAAAATATACTTGCAACCATTTGCTAAAACACATGCATCCAGAAGAAAAGAGACATACCAGGTGGCAAGAAACTTCCCGTCATATGAAAAGGAACACCCTGAAAGAGGCCGGGCATCCCCAATCTCACTGCAATCCATAGCAAAAGTCTTTGCATTCTCCAAAGCCCAATTAATCTCTGCATCCAAATCTTCATCCGGATCATCCCTCTTCCTCCTGGCTCTCCCCAGCCTCATTGCAGCCTTCACCACTGAATCCTTTGCAATCTCATACCGTGCCTTCAACAAAGCCATAGACCCCTCCGTATAAAATGGATACTGAATCGCCTCTCCTTCCTCCTCACCCCCTCCATCCTCCATCCCCACCGCATTCACAGCAGCCTCTTCTTCCTCCAAAACTTTCATCAGCCTTTCCAACTGCCCTTCTGAATCCAATTTCGCCATAATCATCCTCAACCTATCCCTCCTCTCCATCTCTCTCTCACCAAATAGTGTCACCGGTTCCCCTAACCGCCTTAGCCTAGACCTCACCGCTTTGTCATTGGTGGGCACCGCTAGTGCAGCAGCACGTTGCTTCATCAAGAAATCCTGTTTCGCTTTTTCCTGTTTCTCTCTAAACAACCTGCTCTCTTCTGAAATCTCGTATTCGGGACCCGACCCATCACCCTCTTCATCAGAATCTGCCTCTTCGTTGGTTGGCTTGGCAGCGTCGCCATTTTGGGGACGAATAGAAGGAAGAGGGGCAAGTGGACGTGGGATTGGAGGTGGCGGTGGAGGAAGTACAGGGATTGGAGCAATTGTTGGTACGATTGGTGTTGGGACGAGTGGAATTGGAGGTTCAACTGGTGCAATTTGAACAATGGAGTCTGGAGGTAAAGTGGTGGCATTAGGGTTAGGGTTTTCTTTCTCGTCGATCTCCATTGTCGATGACGATGATTGCAGGCAACGGTAATGCCCTTCGTGCTTTGGGTTTTAAAGTAAGCCCCTTTTCCAAACCAATAATTACTAAATCCAAAACAAACTCTTTTTAATAACTTGTACAACAGCCATTGATAATTGTACCTTTCTTTTACTAAATCAATTTCAGCTTGTAATTAGTGAAGTTAGGTTTTGGGAGGTTTATGGAAATGGAAGTAAAAACGTTAAATTCCTAACTCCCCCCTAAAGTTTGACTTATTAACAAATTAAACCCTTTGTCTCTAAATAAATTCTTTTTGTGGACATAACTTCATTGGGAAAGAATTTCTTAGATGATATGCGACTATGTACATAAGGAGGGAGTGAACAGAACCCGTTACAACTAACCTCTCTAACCCATTCAATTTGAAGTCACTCGACATTTAATTAAGTTGTAAAATATTTAAATTGTAAGTCTTAGAGCATCGTTAGACACTCTCGAGATCAAGAAGGCATCAGTAATTTTCATGAAAGATTTTAGATGTGAATGAGGATCTTCCAATGGTAATCCTGCAAATTATCCATTTGTTTGTAACATATGGAACATGATCGGTTTAAGCTCAAAATGGAGGGCAGTCATATGAGGTCTAACTATCCCTGAGTTCAATTGCTCAAAGTCAGGAATAGCATAGTCCATGATTCTTCCATTTCTAGAGTTTGTAAGATTAATTATGTTTGGAGTTTGAGCTCTTTGATGATCATTATTTTCAGATTTTGTGTCATTATGAGCATCTTCATGATTTTGTGGGCCCTTGTTGAAAAGGATGTCCCGGTGGGTTTTGAAAAAGTGGTTCATTTGGTAGAAAAGACTGAAATTGTGGTATTTGACCAAATCCTTGTGGATTTTGAATTGGTACATCTTCGTCAACCGGGGAAGATAACGCCATATTAGGAGGGAGTAGAGTAGAAATTGCTTTTTGAGCCCTTCTTCTTTGGCGGAATGTTTTCTCAATATCCGTATCGAATTCGAGAAACTTCTTGTGGTGTATCCGTGGCATACACCTCTTAAAAGCGGATCAAACGGTGTTAGAAAAATCAAATCTTTAAAGTTACTTTCAAATAAAACTTTATAGCTTGCCAATTCCCGGCAGCGGCGCCAAAAACTTGATCAGGTCCATATTCAGACTTACAACAAGGACCAAAAGCAAGTATACAATTAGTCCCAATATCGTCTTTCAAGTAATAAAGTGATACAAGTACCGGATATCGTCCACATGGATTGTAGTAAAAGTTTAGATAAAAGTAATATTAAGGAAATGATTTCAGAAGGCAAATTCAAAGACTTTGATTTGAACAGAGTTAACACAACTAATAATTAACAGAAAATAACAGATAATAAAAGCAAGTCAGGTTGTATGACTTACGGTGAGATGTAAATATTGTTTCAAGTGGACAAATGTTGTTAACATACAATTAGTAACAACTATTTTCACTATTTATTTTGAAGGTATCCTCTCGGACTTCACCAATGCACTATATTATAGCTTTCAACCCATATCTCTATGAGGTATCCGGACCAGTGAAAGTGACAAATGGTGTCCTCAAAATATATGGATAAACAATTTTTTTTGTTAAAGATCACTCTCTCGAGTGGATTCCCATATCATTCAAGTTGATGTGTTCTGAATAGCTCATATCTGAGTCCATTCCACTAACACTTCAAAGTGATATCACCTGTCGAGAATTAACAATCTAGAAAATACAGATAACAAATATCTTTGTTAATAACTCTCTCAAGTTTACTTCCCATATCATCCAAATTGACATGCAATCAATGGTTCAACTTAGAGTCCATGACATTTTAACACTTTTCAATGATTAACTCGTCAAGAAATGTCATTTGTTTTATAAAACTTGGAATAAAATAATGAAACATTGTTGTTACATAAAAGGGTCTACCTTATTTTGATTTATAAACTCACTCTTTCCGTCATACACCCGAGCTAATAAATTTAGCTACTCATGACGGAAAGTAAATTGCAAGAAATATAAATTGAGGTAAATAAAGACATAAAATAAATAATGGAAAGTGAATGATAGAATAAAAATGACGGGAAATAAAATGCGGAAAGCGTAATAAATAAAATACAAGTAAGCGTAATAAATGACAAAATATTAAAAGAAGGTAAATAAAGAAAGCGAGTAAAAGAAAGTTTGAAATTAGCCAAAAGATTACTAGTATTTAGAGAGAAAATGTTCTTCAAGTAGTAAGACAATCTACTTAAGAAATGGAGGAGATGATGATCTAAAAACTAAACACAATATCTCTATTTATACTAGAGATGAGATGAAGGTATTTCAAACAATTCACAACAACTTAGTCCTAAAGCAACCATTAGTACAATAAAGTAAAACTTAGAGTTTCAAAGCAACTAAATTAGCCAACAAGTTCCAGCTAATTACAAAATGAACACTTGTCCTAAACATAAGAAGTCTTTCAAAAATCAGCCATTGTCATGTCAGTCAACTCCTAGTCCTTTTTCTTCTATTTGTCTACCAGCAGGTCATGCTGCAACATTCCCGCAGCATCCAATAGCTTCAACCTGTCCAAAATAAATCCAGATTAATCCTTTATCTAACAAAAACAGATCAATCATTCATTTTAGCTTTATAACAGAGAAAATAAGTAAAATGACTCAAAGTTGGGATATATACAGAAAATGACTTATCTAAAAGAGAAGAAAATGGTGTTCAAACACTAACTAATTAGTGTGTATCACAAACGTAGCCTGGGAATAGGGTTAAGGGCCATCTGAACCCAACCTAATGAACAAAATGTCTTTCTATACCCTAGATTTAATATGATTGTTAAGTAATTTATTGATATATGTATATTAGACCAACCTGTAATTAGTTTTGTTCATAATTATTTCACAATTTCAATCGTCATCTTACTGAAACTTCAACTTTCTTATTCCAGTTTGTTGCATGTTCTGATAGACCTGTAACTTTAAATGCACCAAATTGTTTGTTGGTTCTTATTCTTCTTCTTTAAGATGTTATGGTAGTCAAAGTAACCATACCTATACTTTATTATCACATAAGGAATGGAGTACATAGTTTCCTATGTACTTGTTAACCTTAATACAAAAGTTTATGTAAGTATCTCTTATGTAATTGTTAGCCTTATTTGTATGTTCTTTTGATTTATTTCTTTTAAACACAATCGCTTAAATAAATTGTAAAATGATATACAAAAGTTTAAACCAGATCAACTCAAACCGTGTCGTTTATTTTGAGTTATACTTTTGTTTGGGTTGGATTTATATTTTTCAAATCACAAATATTGAGTTGAGTTATTCAAATACCATCAACCCGATCAACTCAAACCATATGCAGTACTACCCATAAGGTTGATTTTACTTCGTTTAAAAATAAACACTTAGCTAGATTATAAAATGATGTATAAAAGTTTCAACCTACCAACCCATTTCACACAGTTAGTTTAGGTTGAGTTGGGTTGGGTTGAGATTTTTCAAATCACAAACATTGGGTTAAGTTGTTTGAATACGTTCAATCCGACCAACCCAACTCAACCCATTTAAACCTCTAATTCCATCGTTAACAATTGATATGTTATTTGATGAAGGTCAGATTAAGTAAAATGTTACAACAAATCAAACCACATATGCTTTTATTTAGCAACAAAAAAATTAACTTGTAATATCTGTGGTACATGATATATAATTAAAAGAAAATACATTTACAATATCAAGAAACAACTCTCAAATACATTATCAACATCAAAGATCGTATTAATTATCACAAGTTAAACAAGATAACAACTTTTGAGCAAATGATTCTGACGGTTTCTCTCTAGATGGTGCCGATTCCTCTCTAGATGGAGCCGGTTCCTTTAAACAAACGATGTAAGATTCATCTTTGCCATCACTTCTGGCTCGTTCACAATCTTCACAAAACTTCTTGTATGCATTTTCAACGTAATTTACCCCTTCGATTACAGTCATGTTTTCGACAAATTTATGATCTTGTTCCTGGTCTCCCTTTAAGACAGCACCAAGTTGGACCAACTCTTGTTGAAACTCGCTTAGTTTTTCATTTTCATCTGGCTCGGTTTCTCTCATTTTCATTGGATCCGGCAAAACAACTGCAACAATATTATATTCAGATAGTTTGAAACTATTTTTTGTACTCATTATATAACAATTATATATAATATAAAATTGTATGTTAAATAGTTATAGTTTAAAAATAGATTAAATCATCAGTGCACATCAAACATTATGCATCAAATTAAACAAGCTTGCATGTACCTGGACAATCGGTTCTTGGTGTAGATCTACTTGCAACGCCTTCGAACGTGCCAGCCCACTCGTCTCGTTTCGTTAAAAATGATTTTAGGCCAAATATTTTTTTAACGGTTGCTGGAATAGATGAATGCTCAAACTCAGATGTAGGATATGGCCCCGTTGGCTTATGTAACACTGCAATTTCATTAGCAACCATTGTTCATATATATTAGGGCAGTTTAATTAGATAAAAATAATATAACTGATATAATAATTATTATATAATATAATTAGTAATTCAATAAATGTTCAATACTTTTTTGTTAATATAAGAAAATGTGACTTACCAGTCCCACGTTCAATCCACGGAGAAACAAGGATGGCTGGAACCCTAACACCGAGTCGATCAAACTGGAAATTATAAGGTGGAGGACCAACCAAACCATCAGGGTTTGGAATACCAACATTCGGCGTGGGGACATGATCGTAAAAACCACCATGCTCATCATACACGATTACAAACAATATCTCATTCCATTGTGGACTTGATCTCAATGATTCGTAGACTTGTTTCACGAACTTTTGACCATCAGACACATCATGTGATGGGTGATCGTCGTTTCCTGGCAAAACTTTGATCCCGAAATATCTTTGTTCGATAACGACATAGTTTGGTAGCTTTCCTTCCTTGCAATGTCGGTCAAAGTGTAGATCGAACTGATGGAAGTTGTCAATGTATTTCAATTTACGCAGGTTTCTGTCATATAGGTAATGTAAGGTAAAATTAAAATTAAAACATAAATACCAAGGGACCGTTTGGTTCGCAAATGCAACGGAATTTATATTATCTTTCATTTCAGTTCCACCAAATAAGATGACCCACGTGGAAATGATTATATAATGGCAATGGTGGTTGAAAGGAGTTGGTATGGTCTAAACATTAAAAACTCAAAACATATCCTTTTCTCTTTTATTTTTTTATTTTCTTTTGTCTGTCATATTCTCTCTCTTCTTTCTCTGTAACATACATGTATATACATAATTGAATATAAACTCAAGTTGCACACATTATGAATATTGTTATAGTTTATGAACACATTATGAACATATTTTATATCTATGGAATCAAGTATAGCTTATGAACACAGACTAAATCAATAAAACTAAATTTAAACATATCATTTGTTCACGTAATGTGAACCTTGTGAACACCATAGTAAATGATTTATTAAATTTGTTTGTATTTTGTCCATCTTGTGTGCATGACGTGTGTATTAATATAGAAATAAGAGAGAAGAGGAGAGAAAGAAAGAGATAAAGATGAATTTTTTTGAAAAAATGCGTTAGTTTTTATTTGATAAGTAATGATAATTATTTTCTTAATTATCTTATCTATACTATATTATAAAGCAATTGACAAAAACTCTTAAAAATCATTTTTTATGCATGAAGTACCGTATATTGATGCATATTACTTAAAATTTAAGATTACAAGTAAATTATGCACAAGTACAACTTATTAAAGCTTCATGTTTGAATTCGTGTAACTAACTGCGGATAAACATAATCAAATAGAGRATAAACATCTCATTTTAAAATCTAAAAAATCTAAAATATAATTAAGATAATTATCGAGTTCTAACAAAATAATTAATTATTATCTTTATAAGAAATTTATATTATTAAACCAAATATAAATTACTTCATTATTGAACCTAAATTAAATTATAATAAAAAATTAAATTAAAAATTACACAAAAAATGATGAATTTTAGATAGTTAATACTAATATCGATATATTTTTGTCAAATTTTTATATCTTTAAATTTATATTTTATTAAAAAATAAAAACATCATCGCTTTATCAAAATTATTGATGTTTCAAAATTTAATGTTGGGTTAAGTCCCGCAACGAGCGCAACCCTCGTGTTTAGTTGCCATCATTGAGTAGATCCATATGTATAGATATCACCATCTACATCCAGAAAGCCGTATGCTTTGGAAGAAGCTTGTACAGTGTAAAACCATATTATAACATCGACTGAGATAAAAAATAAAATAAAATATTAAAATCAAGATGTATCTCGATGAATTATACAAATACCCTTCTAATCAATGGATAACAATAATTATCTTTAAAATGTCACATACTAAATGATTAAAACCCCTAGAGTAGCAGGTATCCATATAATATAAATATTGTGGGTATCAACTTTATTTTATTTTAATTAGAGTCAATTACATTGACGGTCCCTATGGTTTGCTCAAATTTTGGATTTAGTCCTTAAAACAAATAATCTATACTAACTTTTCAGTTTCTTAACACTCAGATAACATTCAAGATCCCTCGAGTTACCATTATGAGAAACTGATCAGTCTTTAGATAAACTATAGGGACCAAAAATATAATTACTCAAAATTTATTATGATTAACATCTTTTTTTAAAAGAAATTATTAAAAATATTGTATATATTCATTTACAAATCAAATTTCTTAAATTAAAATACATACTAAATAAATATTTTATTTATTTATTTAAAAACTATTAAATTGATAACATGATTTTTACGTTAGAAAATCTTAAGCTTAGAAAAACAAAGGAAATTAAGATAAATTTATATATCTTTTGGGTTGGACATTGAAGTATGCAAGTAAAATACTGAAATTAAGTATAGTTAACATGAAATTATTAATATATAATCAAACTATATATAATTAAAATAATAATAAAATAAAAATACAAATTATAAATTAAGATTATAAAACACCGATTATTCAAACAATTAAGAAAAACTATTATCAAATCCTACAAGATTAATGCATAATTATATAACAAAATGTTTGTTGTCCAAAACTTGTGGAAAGTTAAGTTGTATTAGCTTTTTTTTTCCATTATAATCCAATAAACATATAAAGATAAAGAAAAACTATTACCAAAAATCATTTTATCAATTTAATAGTTTTTAAAATAAATATAAAGATTTTTATTTAATATGTATTTTAATTTAAGAAATTTAATTTGAATATACAAAATATTTTT